GTAGGTTGTACAGGAGAACGAAAACGTGGTCTTCTGCTTGGAGTGTGCCCTGCGGCATGTGGAAAAACAGAAGTCTTGTCGGGGACTGAAAATGATGTACCGTTATGATGAGGTCTGTACAATGCTGCTGAGCTCTGGTACTGAAAACTCGGGAGTAGCCTTAACCCTGCCCTTGTCCTGCTGGGACCTCAGGAGACTGTGCTGGGTTGTTTTGGTGTGGGAAGAAGGTGCTTTGTTACGATCCAAGTAAAAGAAATAGAGGGAAAAACGATTACAAAGATGAAACTTGGATCATAAACCACTTGAATATGCGTTCCAGAACAGAGAAGCCATTTAATGTGTTGGGGTGCTGTAGAACATGAGGCTGTGCTCTGCCTAGTTAATTTATGGTAACTTTGGTACTTCGGGGCAATTTCTCTGTGTTGATAACAGAACGTTCACGCTGACTTACTCCAGCCCAGCCTGAACCTTCTTTAAGGCAGACTTGTAGAGTGCTCATAGATGAGCGGTCCAGTCATAGCTTCAAGCAAATGCGATGGTGAATAATGACGGAACTGGAGCTGGTGATTTAGGGCTGTGCCCGCGTTCGGGGGCGATTCTGCGCAGCAGTACGGTGGAGCAGCACCCCTTCGCCTGTCGCCCCAGCACCACCTCTCCACTGTGTGTGAGGGGGTGGGTGGGGAATAGAGGAGGGGAGCGTCTTACTGTTAGCCCCAGCTGGGGACAGTGAGGCAGTTGGAGGCACCACACCATCAGTTCCCAGAGCTCAGTGCTGGTACAAGCAGCTTTCCGAGAGGGGCTTCGCAGCGGTTTCTGACACCTGCGCATAGGGGTGCGGGGAAGCGCCCAGAGGTCAGAGAGAGCCTGAAGATCGCACCCTTGCGGCGTGTTCGGTTTTAACTGCAGCCTCTGTTCTGGTATCGGGAACTGCAGATACAAACAACCTACAAAGCCCAGACAACAGCGAAACCACCTTCGTAATGCAGTAACTCGGAAGAGGTTCAGGAAGTTATTCAGAGAGTTTGATGTAGGCTCTTACTCTTGAGATTGTTCAGTCCCTTGCATCCTGTGTTTTCACAGCTCTATTAGTTCTATTGAGGTTTTTTTTTTCAAGCCTCTGTTTCCAGCAGAATCACATACAATTATTTTTTCTAGGTTTTGTAATTACCGAGTAGGCATTTTAGGCTGTGCTGGGAAAGGCAAGAAACCCTCTCTCTCCCTCAGTACAGGATGATGATGATGATTTTTTTTCAAATGTAAAAAGCTGTCACAACATTTCTACCTTTCTGAAGGATACTCACTGCATGCCTGGTTATTATTACAGAGGTATTTTTTTTAGGGCTATGAATGAGGAGAGAGCGAGCCTGCATGACAGACGCCATTTGTTAAATCTGTTTAACTGTTGGGTAGACTTAATTAATGAAGCTGTTTCAACTTTTGCACAAAACCAACTGCTCAGCATTCTTAGTAGGATGAGACAGCCAGTTCAGAAAAAACTTCTTCCCTCCCTCCCCAACGCCTGCCCCCAAACTCCAGCAAATCAGGAGTGGGGTTGGAGCAGAGCCACATTGACGGGCAGCTGAAGGACTCCTGTCTCTTGCTGATCACAGCCCCGTGGACCTTTTTCTGGCTTGCCCTGTGCCTGGGTTCAGAGCACCAGGGACACCCAGAGAGCCTAAAATGCATTAAAGGAAGGTAGCAACCTGTAACCCATGACAGCAGTGTCACAAGGAAAAGGTGGAATCTTTTTTCTTAGATTTTAAAGAAAGATTTAGTAAATAGAAAATCACAAGCAATGCTATTGTGGATTTAAATTTCTGGCATTTGTAACTTTGTTCAGCAGCGGGTTTCAAATTGTATCCGAAGAATGTTTCTGACTCCAGCGAAGGACCCTTGCAGCCCAGCTCCTCTGTCCTTGCCTAGTGGCCAGAGCTCAGACCTTTCTAGTTCTGATCGTACTGTCTTTACGTTTGGAGGGGGAAGCTTCAGTGCTGGGCTACTGCACTGTACTTTGTACATGACTCCTGGGGGTGAATAGGCAGTGTATGAGCCAACCTTCTGCATAGTTTGCACGTACACAGCTTTGCTTTTCCCTCAGTTTGGTGCTTTCAGTCAAAAAGGCAGCACTGTGTCTCTTGTCCATCAGAAGCGACTGGAGAAAGAGCAGATGGTAATTTGTGTTTTGTTTTTCCCACTTCCTGAACAGGAACAAATAATCAGTCTAGTCAATCAAATCTGTGGAAAAGTATCTGGTAAAAACGGCAGCATTGAGAACTGTATCAGCAAGCCTACACCAAAAAGAGGACCTCGTAAGAGAGCGACGGTTGACGTGCCATCATCTAGGCTTTCATCCTCCAGTTCATCCAAAAGTGCTTCAAGTTAATCCTGAAGATGCCAACACTCTCATTTTGTCAATTTATATATATTTTTTGTAATTATTATACCATAGTTTGGAGTACTTGCTGTAGAATACAAGCTGTCTTTGCACTAGCTCTAAAGAAGATTTTCTTCTGGTTTTAGAGAACTAATTTTGTTTTAGCATTAAACTGTTGAATTTTTTTTTTGTACTTAGAATAGATAGATACAGCAGTCTGATTTTTTTAAACTGCCGTATGTTCACTGTTTTAAAACCGGCAAGGGGCTGATAAAATATTAATTTGTATTGTCCCTATGGCTGAAAAAATAAAAAGCCTTTTTGGTAACTATGAGAAAACGCTTTTAACCCATTTTTTGGATAGGTTAAAGTTTGATGTGTTTTATAATTTGTTCTCCAGTCATGTGAGCAGATTTTTCTAGAGAGAAAAGGGATAGGAGACAAAAACTTGAAAGAAATTGCTTTACTTTGGCTGTCTTTTATTCTGTCACAGCAAGATGAGTTTTGTAATTTTTTAAATTGGAGAATACACACTTTGTTTGGGAGGTTATGGCAGCTGAATATGGACTTTGTTTCCTAACTGTAGGCAAAAGGAGGAGATTCGGAGTATGTTCTCTTTTACCAGCACATCACTATGCATCTGTTCTGAGGGGGAAAAATAAAAATTAAAAAAAAAAAAAAAAAAAAAGGAAAAAAGACTGCCTGCCTTGAGGAGTCACGTGAGGGAAAACTGTGCCTGATTTCATTAGGAAATCCATTCTGTTATTTTTTGGTGCTGTTGGCTACTTTATCAAAAACCCTTCAATAGCATCCTTTAAAAAAAAAAAAAAGAAAAAAAGAAAAAAGTGATCGAAGCCATAAGTGCTTCTTTTGTCATAGACGTGCAATCTTTCTAACATTCCATTTCCATTCCACTGCTGTTTTTCACACCTTTACACAGTCAAGCATTAATTTTTGTTTCATTATATGATCACATTTAGAGCCACTAGCAGGTCTGCATATTTCTTTTGAATGTGAAAATGCATTTGCTTTCATCTTGTCTATTTTTTCTCTACATGTTGTAACAAAAAAAAAATCACACCTTTTGTACATATGCCTGTAAATTTTTTTAAATACTTGAGCCTTTTCTTGGGGTGGGGGGAGGGATGGCGAAGAGACAAGATGAAGAAAAGCCTTACGTTTCACTTTCTTCATCGGTTGGATTGGATGCTTACAGGGTTTTTCTTGTAACATTTATAAGTGCTGCTTACATCACTGAACAACAACAAAAAATAATAATGGAGTAGCTGTTGCCCTTTTCTGGTTGTGTGTACAGTATGTGTGGAATAAAAAAGGGAAAATGTTTTCACAATCTGTTTTGTTTCATAATTGACTTCAACAATACCGTAGCTACCCATATTGCACTGAGCTTGCCAGTGGTGACTGTCAGGAAAGTCCTATAATACAATTTGTTGGTTGTTGTTGCAGAAGACTGAACTGTTTTGGAATATTTAACAATAACATAAACAGAGTCAAGTGTTTTCAAATGTGGTTGTCTGGTTTTTATGGCCTTGCTGTGTACTTTTCCCTCTTGACAGTAAACTTCTGACTATGGCTTACAGTTTGACATTTAATTTATTAGCGCTGCTCTGCTCTCTTTCCTTGTAAGGAAAGACTTCATGTTGTTTATTGCCAGTTTTTTGTTTACTTTCCAGGTTTGTACTACGAGGTTTAATAAAAAAAACAAAACTTTTGGACATTTTGTCTGTCTTCCAGAAAGTGAGTAAAGTCAGCTCCTTCAAGAAAAATTTCTTCCTTGTTAAATAGTAAATACCTAATTCTACGTAGTGAGCTGCTTCTAGCCTTCATGTCCCAGAGTGGGGCCAGGAAACACGCTGTCAGGTGAGGCAGAGGGTGTCCCTCAGCCCTTGGCTGTGGCAGGGCAGGCCACTGAAGGGACCTAGACAGCTCGTCCTGTTACTTACGCTGCTTCTGCTTACACTCCTTCCCTCCGCGCGTGAAGAGCAGGAGCCAGGGGCCTTCTCAGAGGAGAGCAGATCCCTGCAAACAGAGCGTGAGACTTGACAAGAAACGGGTTAGACATGTTCAGACCTCAAGTTTAGAGAGAAAAATGACTGCAGGAAAACAACAGCAGTGTGGTTATCATGACTAAGGCCTAAGGTTTATAAAATGTGCACACTTAATTTGTAATTCATTCAGGTTTATTTCCCTTAAATTGCTGGCTTGCATCAGTGTAGGCAAACAGATGTTACCATGGAAAAGTAAGTTACACTGGTGCTCAGTATAAATAACCATTTTTTTCCTGATTGCTGAATTAGTCTCCTCTGTTCACTGTCATGGATAAAATATCGGGGTAATCAAGTAAAAGACATGGTTGGGATAGAAACACTTTATTTTATCTTGAAAGAGAACTAAGTTTATACAATGCTAAGATACCTGCTCCATGAGAAGTATAACACTTCATATGCATCTATCCTCCTTTTCAGTTTCTTTTTTTTTTTTCCTTAACACCTAGGATATAACTAAGTTGGTCCTGAATAAGAAGTGTGAGCGAGTAGACACTGCTGCATTAGTAGACAAAGGCAGTAGGCAGACAGTAGGTAGTAAAGAGTAGAAAACAACTATTCATTTTGGTTTGTATCCTAAATCTTCAGTTGCAGCAGCTGAAAACATGCAAGGAACAATTTGGGTTCAGTATTACACATCAAGTCTAAATATTTCCTGTCAGCCATTTAAAGGTTAGTGGTCAAAGTAACTTGCATCTTTCCGCTGTACTTCCCTTATACATAGTATATACAACAGTTGTACTGCTCCCCTGAGCCCCATGACTACTGCTGAAGTGTGTGTGCTTTAGGCATTTTTTTTTTTAAAAAGCCAACCTCCACATGACTGGCAATTCTGTAAAAAGGCAGTATTACTAAGTAAAAAGATCTGGCTGTTATGCTTAGTTAGTAAATTGTTACACAGGCAAGCTCTTCATTCACATGTTCATTCATTCAAAAGTCATTCTTAAAGGATATGGTTTTAAGATTCAAATGGTTTGAGAGTCACTTTCATCACTAACATCTGAAGCACCCTTTCTTTCAGTTACAGAAGCAAGAGCAGTGTCCACTTGAACCTCCTCTTCATCGGACTGAATAACTGGAGACTCTCCTTCACTCGCATCTTGGCTGGCAGAGTCTGTACAGGTTGATGACAGCGAAGACAGTTTCTGTCGTAACTCAGACTGGCTCGGAACCTGAAGGCTTATCTCATTCACATAGGTGGTGGAGTCAGGCCCTTGTAGTTGGAAACAGAACAACAAATATCAAGCTGTGGCTCAGCAGGTGACACCAGAAGTCAGTACATTAACTGAGTGCAGCATTGGTGAGCGAGCTGTATTCAGGCTGTCTTGCGGCTTTGGCAAACCACCCTTAAAAACCCCTCCCAGAACACAAAGCTGCCTTTGGGCTTCTCTGAAGCTGATCTCAAATACAAGGCACAGGCTGGTTTTACTCTGTTTCTGATGGTGTGTATGGCTCTTGCTCATTGTAGTATTGCTAACGTTTGAGATCAAACAAGGTAAGGTGGCAGGAGTATTAAGTAAGTCCTGGCTCTGTTAAGAGATATAGCTGATGTCCAGCTTGCCTCTTAGCCAAGAGAAGACCACTTAATGCTCCTAACTCTGACTTTGCTAAAGTCCATTCAGACTTCAGCATGTGCTGAGAATCATTACCAACAGGAAAGTCCTCCAGACAAACTCTGTCCAACAGAACGACAGAAAGAAACCTGGGTGAAGTTAAAAAACCAAACCAACCAACCAACCCAAAAAACTGGGAGACAGGCAATAATAGTAATCTCCAGCTTTGACTAAAAATAAAGATGCATAAGCAAAACAAAGCATGAAAGAATTCCTCTGGTAAAGCTGTATCATAGCTCAAGTGCACAGGAATGGGATTTTAAGACTGCGCTTCATCCGTAGCCTATGCAAACAGACTTCCAAGCCAAGTTCAGCCTAATGGTGTTTGCTTGCGGTTCAAGAGTGCAGATTTCAAAATTATCTTAGATCCTCTTCTCTGGACACCTCCTAGCAGTAAATGAAGGAAAAACAGGGAAACATCTAAACCATCTTTCTAGGTGATCTGCCCAATAAAGCCCTCTTTTCCTTCCCTACTCGACCTAACATGTGTTTCTCCATAGTCGGGGCACCCAGCTGCAGCACTGAGTAACCTTAGTGAGAAAATGCTCTTAAAAATCCTGTGGGATGTTATATAAAATGGTTACACAAGAGTTGGATGGAAATGAGCTGATCACTACACCTTACCTCTACTGAGGCTGTTGGCAGAGCAGTTCACACTACATTGCCCCATGACTGATCCCCATAGTGCTGCCAAGTATCCAAGTTTAATTTTAACAAGAAAACAGTCATTACAGCACCTGGAGGCAACAGAAGCTTGTTGTACTAGACACTGTTGCTCAGGCACATTTCTTGCCCTAACGAGCTGCAATCTTAAATTCTGGACCTAAACATGGACAGCAAGTGGCCCTGTACGTGACATCATCGGTTCAGCTTTTCTGGGAACTCCAGGGGGAAACGTGCTCTCACAGCAGGTCTCCAGTTTAAACACAAGCTGATAAACATCTGGTACGGCGTTCACAACTCCCTACAGCCAAGCGGCCTGCCTGGACTGAGAACACTGTGCCGCGCCAACCGACTGCGTCAGGCCAGGGTGCCTCGCAGGTCTACCGCATTGCTTCCTCGGGTAGTACCTGAATTTACACTGAACAACACAAGGGATACTAGGAAGATGTTTCTAAAGACACCTGTCTACGTTGTGCACACCAGCATGCATTAGATTAATTAGATCAGACTAGATTAAGGAGTTTTCTGCAGTGGCAGAGGTGAGCAAAACCAACGCCCATGAGATGGCAACGTTTACAGCAAAACAAACTCAAAACTGTGTTAACGCTTTGAGCTGATTTTCATTTTTACCAGTCACTAAGAAAACTTACCTCCCAATTCTGGGGTGTTCAGTAAAAGTGGGACACAAATCTTGCCCTGACCAACCCAGTTCTTCACTGACAGCAAACTGAAGAGTTATTTTTAAGCCACCTCACTTTTCTAAGAATGAGGACTATTGCATATTTGGCTTGATACTGGGGTGCCAGGTCCTTAAAACAAGCACAAAAATCCCTCAATTCAGAGGGAAGTGAAGCGCCTGGAACTACAACAGGAAGACTCACAAGAGTGTTACACCGTAGTAGGAGCAACCACGGAGGAGTAAAGCCTTGCTGCAAGCCTGTCCAGCTCTGCATTAGGGTTACAGTACTAGAACGTTGCAGCACTGGCACATCATATTACAGTGTATGTGCTATATATAATAAAAATATATATACACACGATATCTATACAGAGACACACTGTAATACTTACATTACAGCACAAACAGTTTTTTCAAAGGCTAATCAGTTTTACATCTATTTAGGAAAAAACAACCACACCTCGTAGCTTCTACGCTTCCTCAGATAATGCAGTTACACTGTTTGTTGTTAAGACATGAAGCTTCTTGGTCCAACATCTGCCAAAGACCCAGCAAGGGGAAAACTCTCCTAGATTCTGCAATTACCTGCATGCTCAAATGATGATCAACTTTAGTAAAGTGTTAATTGGATGCCTATCCAAAACCAATCATCTGCATTTAGTTTTTCCAATAAAACATGAAAAACTTTAGCAGTCAAGTGTGCCTTGATGGCTATCTGTAAGATTTTCATGCTCACAGCAGGTAATAATCACCTTTACATAGGGAGGAAGAAAATTATCCCAGGATATTACTAACGTTTTTCTTTACCTATCCCAAAATACAGGATAGGATTTGAAGTGCACTGTTTCTTCACTGTAAGTACTTTTATAAAAATATTTCAACCTGTATTTTCCAAAGAAATCTAAGTACATTTAAAGGAGCTTCATCATCTCCCCTAAGAAAACTTACTTTGGCTCTTTTGGGAAAACGCATTTTAGTACTAAAGTAAGTTTTTAATTAAGAAAATACACTTCCCTGTTGGATAAAGTACCCTGTATCACCAATTCCCTGCTTTAAGCAGATCCCTCATCATGCTGCAAAATGTAAATCTGGTTTTGTTCATCAGAACACGTAAACAAAATTTTGGATTAAGATTAATTTAATCCAATTTAACTAACATTACTAGCACTAAGTAGGCTACATGAAAGAGCTGCAGTATCAGAATCACTGTTTAGAAGCTTCCAGAACATTGTCATGTTTCATATATATGGGCTGCTATGTTGAACCGTCTCTGAATATCTCTCACTGAAGATCTCACACTATATACAACTGGTCCGAATTTACTTCAAAATGCCAAAATTCTGGGAAAATTCTGAGAAAGCAGTCTTAAAAATAAAAACCTAATTACCACAAACTTTGTGATGTTTGTTAAAAACTCCTCTATTAATTTTACATAGAGAAAAATGCACCTTAAAAGCAGTATGTAACACATCACCTATCCATACCGTGACAAACAGAACATGAAGCTGCAGTGACTAGAAGGAAAAGAGAGACAGTCCAGCAATACCAAGCACTTTTGCAGCGAGCTCTCTTGTACTGCAACTAAATGTTAATGCTTTGAAAACCACTAGTGAAAAGTATTCAATCTCCATAAAGTGTAACATTTTATGAGATAACATTATCCATTACAAATTAGAGCAATCCCAGTGATGTATCACTTTGTCTCCAACCACATGGTCATTACTAGCATCATACCCAGCATGGGAGAAAGCATATTATTGTCTTCGCCTCCCGAGTTTAAAAAGACATCAAGTGCTTCTTGGTCAGACATGTCCATTAAATCCATCTGTTCCAGCATGTCCACATTCACCTCCATGGAGGACATACTTCCAATCGGTTCTGTGGTAAAAACAGGGCAATGAGCAAACTGACAGTCAGCGACATGATGTTATTACCTATGAAGGCTTCAACAGCTGCTACAAGTGTTTGCATCAGTAATAATTACACCAGACATGGAAGGAGCACACCCACTGGAGCTGCTCAGCAGCAATCCCAGCCCAAAGCCCAGAGCACTCTCTGCAATCTTGCTTGTGAAACTCGTGTCCATTACTGTTTTTGTAAAACAGAAGATTTTTAGCAACAATATTTATAGCAATAGCATTGTCAGAAATATGCTAGGATGGGGCTTGGGGGCAAAGATCTAAACTTTCCATTTTACAACACACCTTTCCCATTCCCTCAACTAAAAGCCTTTTTAGAGAAAAACAATTTAAGCCCACAATCACTAAATTCTGTCAATATACAAGGGACATGGAAATCCAGAAATACGGATTAACATTAACAGAGAACAGCCATTCTTCTTCCTCATTCAGTTAGTCTAACAAATGACAGTAGTATTTAAAACCTAGGCTGATGCCAAAGATCTTCTCTTAGCATGAGGATTTCACCTCATTGAGCATTATTAATTATTCACTTATTATTGTCAATATAATACTGACAATTTGCACGGGAATTAAATACTCAGATGAGCACCTTCTTCCCTGAACAATAAAGCATGCAAACACAGAAAAAGTAAGTTCAGGGGTACTCAGATTTAAGTCCATGTATAACATCAACTATTAAAACGAACAGTTTAATGGTTTATCTAAATTTAACAATTATGCTATTAAAAACCTTCATATGTGAACTGAGATGAAATCCTATCATTTGTTTGGGTTTTTTTTCCAAATGTACTATAGCTCTGTAGTTTTACTTGTACCACAGGATCAAATCTTTCATTAAAACAGTTTCTATGATATACAGGGGTTCTGCATTACACTGCAAAGCTGAAGTTCAGGAAGTTAGGTACCCTAGCCCTCCAACAGTCGTGTGTCCAACAGCAGCCAGTGGCAATGCCCACTTTTAGCCTAAGGGGACTATATATATACACACACAGAGAGCAGGAGACCCAAACTCAATTCCTTCCTAGACCAAAGGAATTTAGACTTACGTACCCTACTTCTCCAAAGACTGTCCTAGCAACCAATCTAGAGCATCTTGCAGATGAGCGTTTATAGCACTCTTGCAGAGAAATGGAAATCTTGGATTGTGTTCCCTGCGCCGACATTCCAAATGACAGCACAACTGGTCTTGGAGCAGGGACAGATTCTCTAAATTTTTCCCTGCCACATGAGTGACAATCTCCCACTTGCTTTCTTTCTGGTCCTGCAGTCCCTGCATTTTGGCCCAACAGATGGATGCCTCCCACACAGTGGGAAGTGTCTGTAGTCTATGGCATTCTCATGCTTTAACTACTCAGGACATGCCAGACTTGAGTCATCTCATAAGAAGAAAAGAGCTTAATCTGATCTCCCATGTCCTAATCTCACACACTCTGTACGTTACACAGACAATGGAAATAGCTACCACCTGGGAACTGTCTGGAATACAGAGCTTTCGTCTGCACTTGCAAAGTTTTTCTGGGGCACCTCCTGCCAGGTGACAATCCCAGGCTTTGGAACTCCAGTGGACAGAAGCAGCCACCTCCATCCATATCTTTATAGATATGGATGCACTCTTCAGCCGCAGAGAAAAGTGCTGTTTTACTTCAGTGCTCTGCATTTCCTCAGACAACAACCAGTCTGACTGATTTTCTAAGGTGTCTAGTTTCCCTGGAACCCAATGTTTGTTTAAAGAGCTTATCTGAACTGTCAATCCCTGAGGAAAAATCTAGACACTGCAGTGCTTCATCTGTAAGCATTAAAACCGCAGCTGACTTTGACCCCTCAACAATGTTCTCCAAGTTGTGAGTTTGTGGGTTACACAGAAGGTATTTTAAGACTTGCCTCGCCTCTCTGCTATCTGCAAGTATCCTGTAGACAGGTATTGCTCCATGTCCTGCTGGAAGGCTTCTTCAAAGAACTTCTGACGTTCCTTTAGCTTCATCTGCTGCGTGTGCTCCATATCCAAAACCTTCTGTGCATGTTCAGCATCTAGCTCAGCTGAGCGTAAAACAAACAGACAGATAAAATATTGCATATACATCCCCCCAACTCTCAGAATTTAAAAGCTACAGAACCACTTCAGCATTGACAGACTGTTACTACAAACTGTTATCACAGGCTGTTATTAAAAAAAAAAGGCTTCTGCACTTTGCAACTATATTTTAAAACAGAGAGGATAAGAACACTGTATTAGGCAGCATAACCTTCACATCAAAGTGATGTCATAACTATTTATCTCGAGGCAAGATGCGGATTTCTTGAACCATATAAACAGCAACACCTGAAAGCACTGTCCATCAATAACTGGGACTTCAGAATTCTGCCCCAAAAAAAGCTACCAGATAACGATCCTTCTGCTATCGTACATACCTAATACACACAAAAGTAACGCCTCTAATTTGAATGTTGCTGTGCGTTTCCACCACAATGCAAGTGGAAAGGTACATAGGTATGCATACTTATATGTAGATACATACAAATACACGTACATACGTGTGTGTGTGCACACGCGTGTGAGAGTCTGGTTTTGTCAGCCTTCAGGTAGACTGGAAAAATCCTTTGGAGAATATCCTACCCGTAGCGCAGGTAGGTGTCCACAGAAGCCGTGAAGGCAGCCTGAGCCCACAGGAGGTAGGCAAACGGTACCGTTTTCAACGACCACACCACACAGTCATGAACACCAATGTGCAGGGTCTTTGCTGCATACAGCAGCAAAGAATGTGCCTGAGGACGATGGTGATACTGACACCAAAAAAGCAGAGCCAACTGCCGCAACTTACTAATGTGACACCGAGCAGAAAGGGCCAGCTTGCACAGACAGACAGTGACATCCGAATTTGCTTATACATATCTATGCTGAGTCTCCACTAGCTTCTCTTTCCTCCTACAGCAAAAGAAGTATTAGCTGGATATCATTAGAACTGCCCCCCTCCTGCTTTGCTCTACAGGAGTCGGTGACCGGCCAGAGGATGTACAAAGAAGAGAATCACGGTGCAGAATAACATCTTCTAGAATAAAAAGATGTGTTAGCTGTTGAAGTACTAACTCCAGCCAGACCACTATTAGAATATGCTTTAGAAAAAAATGCTTTTTAGAAGGAATATATAAACTGGAGTCCTTCCTCTCAGAGTTCTCTGTCCATTTTGCTAAACCGGTCTCATGAGCTTTCTGCTTACAATACAAAAAGAATTTGCTAGCTGAGCTGCCGATGGAAAGGACGGGAGCGGTGACAAGAGCTGCTGGTCTGGTATGTTCTACCCATTAGGGGAAGCTCCAACAAATACCGCGGGGTAAATAAAGTCCATGCTTTCATGCACCAGACAGACACAGCTAGAGTGCAGCACCCATATGGATAAACACTGAAAGAGCATAAGGTTTTAGAGGATAAGCATCACGTCAGTCTTCCAGGGAAAATGTTATGTTAATGACACTTTACAATAAAGAAATTAATTAAATTTACCATTATGGAGATTATATCCAAATGCAGAACACATTTTATTAAACCAGGCGAAATCATCAGAGAGCAGTAATTCACCGTGTTGCCTGCATCAAGGTCACAGTTCACATAACAAAAGCAACTGAGCTATGATAGTTGCCAACAGGAGCCATAAAAGTGAACTGACACACTAAATATCCATTAAAACATCAGTAAATAAGATGAAATCTTTGTCTTAAAGTGGATTTTGGAAATAAACGTCAGTGTATAAAAAGGAAAACATTTTCCTTTAAGTCAACACATCTTTATTATCAATTACACTGTGGTGTACGATGAGTCTATGTTCCTTGAAGCAACTCCTTTACTGCAGTCCTGAATGATGAGCAATTATTAACATTGTGTATGATGCAGAAAGGCTATCCAATTGTAATAACAAAAGCCAGCGGCTCTCACTGACAACAGACATTTCCTGTCTTTCTCATAACATATTCTGACAGTTTTGCACTCTATATTGGTACTTCAGGATATTTTTAAGCCCAGAACAGAGACAGTATCCAAACAACGCGTGAGATTGATACAACTTTTTTTTCTTAGTACTGCACCCTCTGGTTTTTTCACTTGGCCTAAAATGTCCTGTTAACTATTGAAATTGTCACTGGCCAAAGCTAAATGGTAACAGCTGCCTGCTGTGCTGACGTATTCTAAAGACATCCAAAATGCTCTAGTGAAGAGTTGTCAGTCATAGGCTCGTTCCCCAAAGTCAGTGACAGAGAGTTAACATCAAGAACCTTGCTGCATGATTTCATGCTCTGCCAGGTATAATGAAAGTTGCTTGGCTAAGCAAAACTGAACTGCTACATGTGGGGTTTCTGTTTGTTGTCAGAAATGCTAAGGATGGCTGGATGAAGCTAAAGGTCAAACCTGTAATAACAGACAAACAGGCATATTTTCTTTTACAAAGCTATTCAGAATTATGTTTTCCATAATCCAAGTGTAGTTTTACATGTTTATAAAACACTGAATAGAGCCAGCGCCAAAGGAGTTCTAAGAAAAAGTACCATCCATACAACCTCATATGCTGTTCACGTCCATATACAAATTCTTACAGACATCAGAGACCCGACACACTGAAAATGTTGTTGCATTTTTCCTTTCACCATAAAATTGTACCTTTGAATTAGTAACTGCACCTATTTCTTAATCACACTGCTGTGCACAGGAAACAAAAAACAACAACAGACTACAGAGAAAACGCTAATTCACAATTAGATGCAGACTTCGAGGACTTGCCATGACATCCCAAATACTAGGCGACTTCAGTTCTACACCAGCTATGACTTTCAAGAGAACAGAACTAAAAGGCAAAATATTTCTTAGAACCTGGAAACTCAAATGCTGACGTACAGCCTTCAGCACCATCACCCGGACCAGCCCCGTGGCCAGCCCACAGCTCACTCCCTCACAGCCACAGGACACCTTACAGCCTCCGAAGCCCAAGCACAGCAGCAGCACTCATCTGCAAAGCTCCCACTTGCTACAAAACCTTGTTTTCTCCACCACTGCCGAACAAGGTGCTCCCCCTCGCCTTGCGCTTGCTGTGCAGGCACTGAAGCATGGAAGTTGGTGCTACCCTGGAACCGGCCACCCCAGCCTGAAGCAGCCTCTGCGTACGCGCACCCCTACTGAGAGGGTACACTGCCCTTGCCTCCTCCAGCCGGGTGAGGATTTACCAGGAAGGTTCAGGGGATGACTCTACTTCTCCAAACACCTTGGCAGGAGAAAAACCTACAGCCATCACCTGTTCCGTGGATCCTGCCTGTATCAGCTAATTCCAGTCATTAAAAGGACTGCCCTGTGCTCTTAGAAGTCAATGGGAACAAAAACTTATTAAAAAAAAAAAATCCATGCCCAGACTGTAGTCCTTAAGGCATTGATTTTCCCTATAGATGTTCCCTCACCATTTTTTCTGGAGAAAAAACATCACCATATAGCTGTGCAAATAGGCCAAAGACTTAGAAATCAAGACAAGACTAGAAGTACAATATTATTATTTGGTGCAACATCCATGTTTTCACATCTTAAGTTACATTTCTGACATCTTTCTGCAGCCAGCTGTGCCAACCAGACTCTGTATTCCTATTATAAGATTAATTTATTAAAGCCAGGACCTCAAGATAGATTAATTTCTTAATGACTTTATAAAACACTTTTATTTACAAATTAACCCTGTTTCTGGGAAAACCTTCCCCCCTGGTATCTTAAGTGTTTGAACTAGACACTAGATGAATGCAAACTCCAAAAGGAACAAATTACAACAGCTTATAACCATACACCTCAAGCATAAAGGACACTGTTTTCTGATATCATTTGTATGCCTGACTGACACCTTCTACAAATTAAAATTCTGCCATAGTAGCTAAAATTTCTATCCAACAAGCTAAGTGACCGTTTTATAATGTAAAACATTTTCCAGTTACGCACAACACATTTTCTGAATAATTATGGCTACAAATAAAACAAATTAGAAGAATGAGTACAAAAAAAAAATCAGCAACTGAAAACACTGGTTGTTTGGATTGCTAACACACGCAATTAGATGTAACGTGAAAGATGTCAAGTTGTCCAAATGGATGGCAGCTTGGTGCTTTAACACCGTTTACACAATCAGTTTACTTTCCTTCAATTAGTCTATTATGTTACTGTATGGTTCTCCTGTGAACTAGAATCCATAAGTATGTTCTAAAGAAGGAAAGACACAGAATTACACAAAAAAACAGAGCTAAGACTAAACGCCCTTTTTTCCCCCCTCTATAGTTCATCTGGGTTTTGCAGACTCATTCAACCAGACCATAAAATCTATGCAAGTATTCCTCTTGGGGATTTTTCCTTTCACAAAAGGTATCAAACTCTCAAGCAGCCCTTCACTGATCTCACTCCAGGTTTTTCATGTTGCTCCTGTACTGGGGAGCCCCAAACTGGACACAGCATGTAGACATGCTGAGTAGGGGGGATAATCCCTTCCCTTGATCTCCTGGCCACTTTCCTGTTCATACAGCCCAGGGTGCTGTGGCCTCCCCTGCTGCCAGGCCTGCTGCTGGCTTGTGCCCGCTCAAGCCCCCAGGGCCTTTCTGCAGAGCTGCCCCCCAGGCAGCCCCCCTCTGGCCTTGCGGCAGGGGCTCCTCCTGCCTGGGTGCGTTTGTACCTGCTGAGTGTCACAATTTTACTGTCAATCC